GTCAAGCAGAGAGACTCAATTATCATATGGTTTCACTTATTTATGGAGCATAAGGAATAACACGGAGGACATTGGAAGATGGAGAGGAGAAGTAAGTTGGGGGAATTTGGAGGAGGAGATGAACCATGAAAGACTGTGAACTCTGAGAAACAAACTGATGGTTTTGGAGGGGAAGAGAGTGGAGGTGAGCCTGGTTGTGAGTATTATGGAGACCACGTATTGCATGGAGCACTGAGTGTGGTGCATAAATGATGAATTCTGGAACACTGAAAAGAAATTTTTTAAAAAGAACATAGGGATTGGGGAGGAGGGTAGGGTTGAGACTTTTTTTAAATTTTTTTTTAAGTTTTTTGCAAAGTGCCTGTCATACAGTAAAGGCTTAATAAACAGATGCTATTGTTTTTTATATTTCTTTATTCCATTATTAGTTCAACAATTATTGAGCACAATCTGTGTGCCAGATACTGCTCCAAGAGCCACAGAATCTAGCTATAAACCTAACAGATAAAAAATACTTGTGCTTGTTGGACAGACAATAAACAGATCAGTAAAAATAAATACAGTATATTAACTGGCTGGGGAGAAAAATAAAGGGATGGAGAATAGGAAGTTTCAGGATAAAGGTTGCAACTTTTAGATGCAGTGGCCTGGGAAGAACTAATTGAGAAGATGTCCTTTAAGCAAAATCCAGAAGGACACAAGGGAACACTGGGAATACAATAGGGGAGATCGGGATAAGGAGTAATGTTCCAGACACGGGAACAAATATAGAACGCTCAGTGTTCTTAAGGTAGGCCAAGGAGTCAATGTGGCTGGAGTGGGTGAGCAAGAGGAGAAGAGGAGAAGAAAAGTAAGTAGAGTGCCCAGCAAGCAAGCCTATGTAGGGCCTTGAAGAACCACTGGGGGTCTCTGGCTCTTACTCTAACAAGAGGGGAAGCAAAAGTTCTGAGCAAAATAGTGGCACATCCTGATTTCCATTTAGACCAGATCAGTCTGGCTGATCTAATGAGAATAGCCTACTGACTAGACTATAGCAAATGTAAATGCAAAGCCACAGGAAGCTCTTGCAAGGGTTCTAGTGAGAGGTGGTGATGGCTTGAACCCAGATAGTAGTGATGGCAATGACAGAGAGATGTCTTGGTATATTTGGAAAATAGAGCCAATGGGATCTTAAGGGTGGGTTGGATGTGAGTTGTGAGAAAAAGAAAGTCAAAGATGACTCCACATATTCTGTCCCAAGCTACTACTGCAGTAATGTAGCAATCATTGATGTGAGAAGGGAAAGATGTGGGAGATGCATGTTATATGTGGGGGGAATGGGGGCAGTCATGCAGGAATTAGGATACAAGGATGCTGATGTCATCATGGAAGTGTTGGGTTGGAGATGCATCCTCCCATGGGAGATGTGCAGTTTGTACCAGGGAATAGAACTTTGGAGATCAGGAAGAGATCAAGACTGGAGATATAAATTTAGGAGTCATCTATAGATAAAGGGGATGTGGTTGTGGTTGTTATATCTGGTCAATAGTTTGAGATGGTTGCATACAAACTAACAGTGCATCACAAACAACATCAGAGGAGCAGAGGCCTGCATTAGACACCTTACCAAAAGCTGCTAGTGACAGTTTCATTCTACCAGAAACAAGTAGAAAGCCAGGAACAGGTAGAAAAAACACAACTAGCATTCATAATTTGAATGGCTCCTAATTTGCCTAATTGAGGAAAGAGTTTTACAGTGAGTCAGATTATAATTTTATAAATTGATTTGCAAAATCAATTATAGCTTTACGGTGTTACATTTTTGGAGAATTGCCTATTATCTCAGTGGAAATTAATAAACGACTTGATGAGCACACAGTACTCCTTATACCAGTGAAGAAAAGATTAGGAAGCTAAAACTGCCTCTAATTTATGGACAAACAGAATATGATGCATCAGAATCCCACAGGGTAGTTCTAACAATTTAATTTCTGCTGATTCTCACAAGTCTTTCAGCCTTTTAAGAAGGAAAAATCTTGACTAGTTCTCCTTCCTCTTTTGGTAAAAGGCTTTTAGTTTGGACAGTTATTCAAGCTGACCCAGATGGACCTAATGACCATCTCTTCCCACTAAGACAACATTTCTCCACTTTCTTTCATTACTAAGCCCCCCACCAAGGAAACTTTTTAGGTATTTTTCCTCCTAATATCCAACCTACAAAAATGTCTTATTGTGGTAAGATATATATAATATTTTTATCATTTTAACCATTTATAATTGTACAACTTAATGTCATGAAATACATTCACAGTGTTATATAACCATAACCACTATCTTTATCCAAAACATTTTCCTTATTCCTGACATAAACTCGGTGCTCATTATACCTTAACTCCCTATTCCCCACTCCTCCCAGCCCCTGGTAACCTCTATTAGACTTTCCTGTCTATGAATTTGCCTATTCTAGTATCTCACATAGGTGGAATCATACGATATTTGTCTTTCTGTGTCTGGCTTATTTCACTTAGTACAGTGTTTTCAAGGTCCATCCATTTTGTAGCATGTATCAAAATTTCATTCCTCTTCATGGCTGAATAATATTCCATTGTATGAATAGACCAATTTTGTGTATCCATTGACTCTAAGTGGACACTTAAGTTGTTTCCACCTTTTAGTTATTGTGAATAATGTTGCTATGAACATCGGTATACAAATGTCTGTTTGTGTTACTGCCTTCAATTATTTTGTATGTATAACCAGGTGTGAAATTGCTGGGCTTGTGAAATTTTAAGACCACAGGTAAACTGTGTATCTGTTTATGTTCTTTGTATGTATGCATCTGTGCTTTACACATAAGAAGAGTAAGATTTCTGAAGAAGTCTTCAGAACAAATTTTCACCTCCTTGAGTGGGAGTGATATCACCCTCACTGAGACTGCAAGCTCTAGGGAAAGATCCCCAAGTTTCCTGCTTTGATGAGGTAAATATATGGGTCTCCTTAATAAAAATTGAAGCCATGGATTACCAGGAAGATGACCCCAAAACACATAAGTATAAAAAGTCATCTTTTTATAACATGCAGTAATGTTATTTGTATTTTCATTAGTCTTCAACATTGACAAGAATTGATAAAGTGATGAGCCCAAGAATGTTCTGCAAAATTGCTCTTAGAGGTTGTGTCAGGACCAACCAACGGAGCAAATATTCTAACAAATTTTCTGAGAACAGTGGAGATTAATGATGTTGTATTCCCACTGAGCCTAAAATATCTCTTGAACACAATAGAATAATTAAAAGCAAGTATTTTTTATTTAAATTCAGTTAGCCAATATACAGTATATCGTTAGTTTCTGATATAGAGTTCAGTGATACATCAGTTATATATAACACCCAATGCTCATTACATCACATGCCCTCCTTAATGCCCATCACCCAATTACCCCATCCCCCACCCACTTCCCCTTCTACAACCTTTAGTTTGTTTCCCAGCATCCAAGAGTCCCTCTTGGTTTGTCTCCCTCCCTGATTTCTTCCCATTTAGTTTTCCCCTCCCTTCCCCTATGATCCTCTGTGCTATTTCTTATATTCCACATATGAGTGAAACCATATGATAATTGTCTTTCCCTGATTGACTTATTTCGTTCAGCATAAAACCCTCCAGTTCTATCCACATCGTGTAAATGGTAGGTATTCATCCTTTCTTTTTTTTTAAATTAACATATAATGTATTATTTGTTTCAGGGGTACAGGTCTGTGATTTATCAGTCTTAACACAATTCACACTTACACAATTACATAATTCACTCACCATAGCACATACCTTCCCCAATGTTCATCACCCAGCCACCCCATCCTTCCCACCCCCCTCCCCTCCAGCAACCTTCAGTTTGTTTCCTGAGATTAAGAGTCTCTTATGATTTGGCCCCCTCTCTGGTTTCATCTTGTTTCATTTTTCCCTGCCTTCCCCTATGATCCTCTGTCTTGTTTCTCATCCTTTTTGATGGCTGAGTAATATTCCATTGTATTTATGAAATGGGGGGGGGACAAATAAAGGATCCAAAGATCCAGATGGTGGTTAGCCAGGTATTGGTGAGGTCATAAGATGGTTCCATCAGCAGGTACACACTGCGCTCTACACTGAGTACACTGCTGAGTACACACTGCTATCTGGTTGGAAGGCCATATGGCACATACTCACCTAGATTTAATTACAGTGTGCTTGCCTGATGCTATATTGTTTCCGTATGTAAGGAAGAAATTAAGATTGTATAACAGTATTGAGAAAAACAACAGTTTCAAATACCTGATCAGAGCCCATCAAGTGTCAGGAAAAAGAAGGAGAAGCCAAAGAACTGCCTGATTGGAGGAGACTAAGGAGATGTGACTACCAAAGATCCTGTTGGATCCTGAACTAGAAAAGGGGCATTAATGGGGAAGTGGGAATTCTGAATAAAGTCTGCGGTCCACTTAGTAGTGTTGTACCAATGTTAATGGCACCTTACTAATTGTACTGTCATTATTCAAGATGTTAACATTCAGGGACACTTAGGTGAAGGGCTTGCCGGAACTCTGTACTACATTTGCAACTCTTCTGTGAGTCTAAAATTATTTTAGAACAAAAAGTAAAAGAAAACAGGGGCAGCTGGGTAGTTTAGTCAGTTAAGTGTCTGACTCTTGATTTCTGTTCAGGTTGTGATCTCAGGGTCGTGAGATCAAGCCCCGCATGGGACTCTGTGCTCAGTGCAGAGTCTGCTTGAGCCCCTCTCCCTCTGCCCCTCCCCCCTGAACACTGTGCCCACACTCTTTCTATCTCTCTCAAATAAATAAATGAATTCTAAAGAAAGTAAAAGAAAACAAACAACAACAAAATTTCTGGTAGTTCCTGGGTGTCAGAAGCAAACTTGTAACTGGCATTGCTGAAGGATGGTTGGAGTGGGGGGGTCTATATTTGTGATAGCAGGAGTTTTGAAATCTGACATGAGAAGAACTCCTGTCTTTGTCCCATTTCCAATTCTATTGCAGGGTATGTTGGGTGCATCATGTAACTGGGATGTGGGTGTACCCTTTCCTGGAATACATTGGCCCAGGAGCCAGAATCGTCTTCTTTGGGTCTACAACCATCTTAATGAACTTTTTGTACCTGCTGGGAGAAGTTCTGAACAGCTATATCTGGGATACACAAAGAAGTAAGTATTGTTTGGGGGAGCATAAAACGGGAGAATTGCTATCTAAAAGAGTGTGTGCAGACACTGAAGGAAAATTCCATCATAGCACAGGATCACTTAAGAAGAGTTTCATTTTTATAACTACACAGTGTTAATTTAAGAGTTGCTGGCTCTTACCTGAAAGGTTTATTACTCACTTTGTCTTATTAACTAGTCAAACATCCAAATCTAAGGAAAAAGAAGCATACCTATAAAATTTTATAGGGAGAAATGTAGTGTTAACAATAAAAAAAAATTTAGGAATTTCATTCTGATCAACAAAATACTGCCTTAGCGAAAGGGACACCCCCCCATAAATAGACAAATTATTAAATGTAACCAAACAGTCCCATTAGAAACCACCCAGACCTCCACTTCTTACATCATCCTTCAGAGAGGTCTCCCCACTTTTCTGCTAGAACTCCAAGCTGTGCAGAATGCCTGCAGCCACTGTGATTCACCAGTGACTGTCATTTTCAAGGACTGAAGGTGGCAAAGAGGCACAGGCAATAAAGGGTAATACGTCATTGCTACCAAACTCTCTTAACCTATGATTTGATTTCTCTTCTGTTTCCGTTTATGACAGAACCTCCATCTTGGCAAGGCACATAATCTTACCCAAGCTGTGCACACCGATCCAAAGTATATGTCAGATAGCAGAAAAATGGGAAGGTGGAAAAAGCAACAGCACGGCATGCAGCCATTTGAGTCCTGCATGAAAGTACATTGAAGGGCAAGATGGTCCGGGAATTTTAGAGAGCTCTGGGCATCGCCAGTATAATCACAACATTCTAGACGTCACCCGTAAATGATCTCTGTTCCACAAACATGGAACGCCCTACTTTGTGCCAGACACTGTGCCAGGAACTTGATCTAATTAGACAAATAAAACGCAGTCATTGCACAGTTACTGGATTGGACTTTTTTGTGTGTGGATCTTCTAAAATTGTGCGTGTCAAGGTGTTGGTCCATGGTAAATGGCCCAGAGGAATTTGAGGATTTCTTTTCTCAGCAGCTGGCTTGATTTTAGTAAGTGGTCTATTAGAAAAAGTCTCAAAAATTTTTATTCAGTTCAGACCACAACTTGGGAAACCTGAAATGAATCCTTTAATAATTCCTTCTCTGTTCAATGAGAATAGGAATCTTTATTAGTTAACTCATTATTTAGCTAACTTACAAAAATATTTTAAGAACAAAATGTAAACTTTTCTCAACTTCTTGAGAGGAAGGCCATATTTAAATTTAGGCTAAGAAATTTAATATATGTTATTCAGGAAGTATTTATTACTCTTTCCCCTTGATTAGCTTGATCCCAATGGTCATTCAGCCATTGTTCAACTACTTCTAAGGGAAGATGGCCGGAAAACTAAGAGAGAGAAAAATCCAGTGTCGCTTCATAGAACGCTGCTCTTTAAAAACATTGAGTGAAAACAAAACAAAACAAAACAAAAAACAAAACAAAAAAAAAACAATGAGAAGTTAAAATGAATACTGAAACTAAGGTTTTTTAAATGATCTGTTCAACTTAATTTGTGTCATTCTCTTACGTAAGATTGACTAACATTTTGTAACCCATTTTAAGTACGGAGATTAATTTTATCTACATGGGACCATCTAGTTAATTCCACAGAAGTGGATGTTTCGTGTCAAGTAGGCACATTTTGCTTTTCATTTATAAAAAGCATTGCAGACTCATGACCTCCTCTAAATTTGACCTGCCAAATGGCTTGTTAGACCCATAAAGTGGGATTTTTGTTCTTGAAACAACATTTAAAAATTGAGAGATTACACAAACAGGCCAGATTCATCAGCTTATCAAATACCTTAGGATCTCGCAACACTGAGCTCACTGTTCTCTTTTGGCAACAATGGATTAGAACTGAGGATAAATTGCTCCTTGAGATGGCTCCCTAAGTGTTCCTCGTTCTCACCCAGCCACTTTTCTCCATTACATTAGCTGCCTGCTTCTGTAGATAGTAAAATTTGAAACTGTTGATTAAAAGCAGTGTGTGCTGTGTGTACATGTGTGTGTGGGGGGGGTATGTGTGCAGTAAATTGAATACAATCAAGTACAGTATTACAATACTGAGTACATTTACTATACCCTAAACAAAATCTCCCAAGAAGCAGGGATACCATGCTGAGTGCCCTTCCTTGTATCCATAATGATTTTTAATGACTCCACTTCCTCCACTTGGTTAGGTTATACTGACTTCAACTTTGAGATAAAAATCACATTATTACAGAATCTTGGAATTAAAAAGAATATTAGAAATCATCTAAGCTGGCCCTTTGTTTTTACTAACCAGCAGCTGAGCTGGGAAATCCTAGGTGACCTACCAAAATGGTGGTTGCGGGGCCAATACCTTCTGAGTAATGTTCAATCCAGTGTTCTTTCTAATGAGCCATCGGTTTGTCACCATTGAAAACCCAGCACATGAAAGGTTAGAAACTTCACTAAGATCCATGGACCTAGTTTATAAGATAACAAAATAGATCAGCCTGATATGAACTATGAACAAAAAAGCTCTTAAAATAAGGTAAATTAATAGTCAGGCATTTGCTCTTTTAAAGGAAAGTAACTCAAGGTGACTTTGAGACTGCTATATTGGTTTGCTAGGGCTGCTACAGCAAAATACCACAGGCTGGGGGTCTTAAGCAATTGAAATGTAATGTCTCATGGTTCTGGGGGCCAGAAGACCAAGATTAAGGTATTAGCAGGATTGGTTCTTCTGAGGGCCATGAGGGAAGGACCTGTTCCAGGCCTCTCTCCTTGACTTGTAGATGGCTGTCTTCATGTTCAGATGGCATTCATCCTTACATGTGAGGCTGTCTCCAAAAATTCCCTTTTTATAAAGGCAATGGTCATATTTGGTTAGGTCCACCCCAATAACTTCATTTTAACTTGGTAAAGACCCTATTTCCAAATACAATCACATTCTGAGAGACACAGTTCCATCCATAATACTCTGCTTTCTGTCCCCAAAACTCATGTCCTCATTCCTGCAAAATACATCCCCAACAGCTCCAAATGTCTTTCCAGCATCAACTCTGAGGTACAAAATCTCATCTTAAATATCACCTAAATCAAGTATGGTTAAGACTTGGGGTATGATTCATCTTGAAGCACAATTGATTTCCAGTTTTGAACCTCTGAAGCCATACAGAAAGTTATCTGTTTCCAAAACACATTGGTGGGACACACATAGAATACCCATATCCTTTCCAAAAAGGAGAAATTACAGGGTGTGAAAAAAGGGCCACAGTTCTCAACGAAGTTTGAAACATAGCAGGGAAAATTCTAGATTTAAAGGCTTGAGAATGAGCCTCTTTAGCTGAATGCTCCATCCTCAGGGCTCACCAGAAGGAGGATGTGGCTCTGTCCCTGGGTGGTAGCCCTACCCACAGAAGAGGGTATCCCCTGAACCACCTTAGGAGTCATTTTTCCTTCATTTCATGCTATCTAGCTGTCCCTTTCATCCAGGCTAACAGTGTTTCTGCTAGTACAAAATTCTCAAAAAATCTTATTGGTTTCCCATGCAATTCACAGGGGCCCAAGTCATCAGACAAGAAGGTCCCCCACAGATCTTTCCTGGCTTCTGCTGAAATGGTTAATTGGATCCATGAATGATATGCCTAATCTCCTTAGCAAAGCCACACCCTTGGCCTTCTTTCACTTTCTGAGGTTCTAAGGTTAGGACTTTAACATATGAATTTGGGGGCAGGGTGTGGGACAACACACAATTCTATAACCACTGAAATCTTTCTGTGCTTAATCTAAGAATTTATTCCAATTCCAGTGTGTCTAAATGGGGTGACCAATCTTATTAAAGTACAATTTTATACGACCAGAAATGAAAGTGTCCAAAAGTGAAAGGTTAGGTTAAGGACAGGGAAAGCAAGCAAAAGAGAAAGGAGTTTGGAGCCAGGCTTGTGTGACAGAAACCTTCTCCCCCAAATGCCTATCCAGCTCATGTCCCACACAGGCCAACCCAGGCCTACAATGTACCAGTGCTGCCCTCTGGTTGAGCGCTTCTCCCTGCCTGGCAGAATCACATATGACTAACTCTCTCAGGGTCAATCAACTCTTCTTCTATGTTCCCAAAAGCACATCCTGCCTCAGCTTTGTGACAGGTTTCTTTCTGCTATTCATGTGGAAATTATACCTCTAGTTCTTCCAAATATTATTTACAGCTGTCTAATTTTTTCCCTCTACCTCAAAGCTGCCAAACTGAAGTAGGTGGGGAGCCATTTTTCCTGTCTGGGTCAATGAACACCCCCTGTTCTCCACCCCCACTTTTGAAGATTCCACTATTGCTGCCAAGTCAACCCATCTGCAGGAGAACACTTAGGACGAAACAGACCTTAAAGAAAAGCAAGCAGTTATTAGTTCCTGAGAGCTTCTCCACAGGAGAGGGAACATGGGACAAAGTTGGGACCCAAGTCATGTGTGCTGTTTGAACAGAATCCACGTTGTGTTTTTCCGCCTTTGCCTTGGTTACCAACAACTAAGGCATCTCTTAGCCTTCTCCCCCTTAACCCTATTCCTCCTCCCTTACTCTTGAAACCGAATTCCTCCTAAAAAAAACCCTATTCCTCCTCATGTCCTTACTCTTGAAACCAAAGTTTTCCTTAATATGACTTCTGAGAAGTACTTTGGAAAAAGTGTTATAGATCTCTGCCAGTTTCTCAGTCATGAAAACCAAACCAGAAAGACTGCCTAAGGACACCTGTTCAGAGCATGTTACCTGCCTTCCCCCATTACTACCCTGACTCCACAAAACAGATACTAGGAGTTGGAACCAGGGGGGAAAGGGAGTCTTTCTTAATATAAGCCTTATGATGACCCTCTGGGATTAGGCTTTAAATTTTTTTATATTGTGAAATTCCATATTTTACTCTGCTTTCCCACTAACATAGCCTTCTGAGGCTTTCCTTACTTTCATTGTTTATTAACTGATTCATTAAAGATTAAGCTCCAACTATGAGTCAACACCATTTTAGGTGCTAGGGATATTATCAGAAACAAACCAGTTAAGGGTTCTGCCTTCAGAGAGCTTATAACTTATAAAAGAATACCAACAATACCTGCAAAACAGTATTTGGAGTTCTTTTGTTCCAACAAAAGTCTCTGAGAATTTGGTTTCAGAGAATGAGTATTTAGTAAAAAGCAAAAGAAAAAAGAAGTGGGAAACATTGATCAGATTTAACTTTAATTCATGAGGATGACTTCAACATTTTCATCTCCAGGAAAATGAAACATCATTAATTCACTATTCACCACAGACAACAGGCAAAGCTCTTGCTGGTCAAGTACATATGAGTCTCTCAGAAGGTGAAACATAGTTCTACCAGGATTGGGTTGAATAGAAGGAGATCTTCCACAAAGATATGGAAATAAATCATTCCTGTGCTTAAAAAGCTCTCTATGAGTTAAAAAAAAAAAAAAACAAAATTCTTGACTTCTGAAAATCTAGAGTTCTTGCCTTGTGAAGAAACACAACTAAAATAAAAATAAATGAGGGCTGTTTGAGACTCATCAGCTGCACACCTCCTGTTGCTAGAAGCTGGTTACAAAGCGGTCTGGTTGGGGTTTCTGTGCAAAACTCAGTGAGTCAGGAACTAACTTGCACCCATCACTCCCAGAAGCCGTTAAGACTTGGGAGTGTACTGACTTGGGGGGAAAGGGTGGGGACACAGGTCACTGAGGAAGTTTCTGGAGAAAGTTGTAAAAGATTTTTCCTTCTGAGCTAGGAGAAAAGGGGTGGGTGCAGCAGGGTAGAAGGGGAGCGATGTGGGGATAAGAGAGGGTTTTTTGGAGCAGCCTTGGCAAACCTGCTCACAATTCAATCCGATATTAAAATAAAGTACTTTGCCTGAATTTCTAGGTATGGAAGAAGAGAAAAAGAAGCCTAAATTGGAATGAAATCTAAGTCTAAATGAAAGAGATGGATTGACTCACCATTGAAGACTGGTTACCCCCTGGACACTGGCAGTGCAGGAAAGGAAGCATCCAAGAAAACAGTGGAATTCATCTCAGCCTTCCTGCCTCCCCCACCCTGGGGGGGGGGTACCTTTATAAAGAAACATATATAAGAATAGAATACAGTTATATCCCAAATAACTTGCCCTCATTATGTTTTAAAGAATTCTTTCCAAATTCATTATTGATAATAACATCTTTTTTTTCCCTCTTCTAGTTTTTAAAACTAAAATTGGTCATCGGATTTTAATTTCTGCGATTGTAATTCCATTTACTTGAGGAAGAATAAAACTCTATTGTGTTTCTTGTTAAGAAATATGTGAAAGTCAAAGGGGCAGATGTGGAGAAAGGCATTCGAGTACTGAGTTCTGCAGGTGGCTGGGAAAATGAACCCGGACCACAGGGCAAGTCTGAGGGAAATGGGATGGATTGCTCCCTATTGCAATGATGTCACAGTTGCCTCAAACAGGCAATGTTAGTAATAATTACATCGATTTAGTCAAAACCCTAATCCTGTATTTGGATCTCATGATTTAATCTTGTGAAGTTTTTCCTATATGCAAACTGAAACTTTAATAAAGACCAAACAACCCCAGTGTGATAACTGCATGGTGTATTAAACATTGGTGTCTCCTTTCTTATTTGTTTCTATTACCAGTTGAGAATGGGTTTACTGAACCTAATTCTTAATTATTTTTTTTATTTTAGGAAGTGTATCTTTTTGATAAATCTAAAAAGAATATTTTTTAGAAAGCTAATTTATAAAATCTTTGACCATAATTATTTTAAAATAAGACTAATGCAGAACATGTAGTAGAGAATACATAAAAACAAATCTTAGAAAAATGCAGGTATATAAATTAATTAACTAATTTTTAAAAAAGAAAAATGTAGGGAAAAAGCTAATCAAAATAAAAGCAGAAATTAAGTAAGACAGCAGAAAAATAGCAGAGGAACTGATATATAAGTAAATTGATTGATAAACACAGTATCTCGTCTATACAAATAACACTAAAATATGCAAACAAGAGAGAGAAACAAATACTTCACAATATAAGCATAGATGTGAAACAAATTATTTTAATTATAAAAATAAACTTTATATTTCTATGGCAACAAATTCTTAGAACCCAGTGAAATGTGCAATTTTCAAGTAAATGAATTCAATAAGAATTGGAAAGATGTAACAGACTGATATTCATGGAAAACTTCTTTTTAATGTTCAAATAACTATCTCCAAAAAAGGAATTGGGTCCAGAGTGTTTCATGAGCAAGTCTTTGAAAACGTTCAAGTAACAACTCACATGTTATTTAAACTGTTCCAAGATTACAGAATGATGAAACACTTCCCAAATTATTTATCAAAGTTAATAGAACCCTCAAAACAAAGCCAACGTAGAAAAGAAAATCATTTGCTTTAACATAACATAACATAACATAACATAACATAACAACATAAATCCAATACATATAATTTTTCAAAACTTAATAAGGTTTATCCTAAAAATTGAAGGATGGCTAAATACTAGGATTTTTATTCAAAAACATTGTCTCAATACAATCATCCCTGCTTATCTGCAGGGGACACATTTCCGGATCCCCAGTAGATGCCTGAAACCCCAGACATATATGTGGAACCATATATGTACTATTTTTTCTTATACATATATGCTTATGATAAAATTTAATTTATAAATTAAGCACAAGAGATTAATAGCAATAATAATAAAATAAAACAATTCCAACAATACACTGTAATAAAAGTTCTGTGAATGTGGTCTCTTTCAAAATATCTTACTGTACTATACTCACCCTTCTCATGATGGGTGATGTGAGATAATAAAATGCCTATGGATGGCATGAGGTAATGTTAAGGACACTGTCTCTGCAATACAACATTGGGCTACCATTGACCTTCTGACGCTGTGTCAGAAGGAGGATAATCTGCTTCCAGACCACAGTCAACCGCAGTCATCTGAAACCACGGAAAGTGAGACTTATGAATAGTGAGCACTCAGAGAAGGTGGGGACCAGTGTAATGCACAAAAGAAAAAAGTCACATGATTCTCTCCATTGTTGTTCCAAAGCATCTGATAAATTTTAACAGTTATTTCTGACAATAACATTAATAATATAAAAGTGCCCCATATCTTGGGAAGGAATAGTCATCTCAAAGACCAAAGGCATTCCCTTTTAAGGTAAAATAAAATAAGATATAGATGTCCATGACACCGTTACCATTATTTTTCTGAGGTCTTTGAGAATGTTAGGTCTAGCATAGAATAAACTATATTTTGACCTGGAGTGGAAAGGTTTTATGTTAAAAAAAAAAAAAAGTGGTATGTAACTACAGAATCGATATTGGAAAAGAAAAGTGAATGCTTAAAGAAAAACCAGAAAAAGAGCAAAGCCACTATTTAAAAGGAATCCATTTCTTTATGTGACTTTCGGGAAAGTAAACCTGAAGGAGTAAACCTGAAAGTAAACCTAAACCTTTAGGACTTCCTGGAACAATTCCTCAGGGACCTAGTGACTATTCCTTTCCTCTAGCAAATAAAACTCCCTTTTTGAGCCACCAAAGTGACAGACAAAGAAGTTAATGTCAATGGTTTTTAGATATAAAGCTGATTCCACTTACATCCATTGGAGCAGTCTAGATTTCTGCATCACTGCTCTGTTTGAAATATAATTACGTGTTCAGATTTGGGGTTTGGTTTGGTTTTCTCGTGATGGATCATTTTTGCTTTAAGAACTCCAGCCCCCGAACCCCAGCCCCACATCCTACAGGACGCCCAGGGCTGTCACGGCAGGTGCATGGAATGCACCAAGACACCCCTACCCAGCTTAGGCACCCACTGATCCATCACAGAAACTCTGCTTGCCCTGGAGCAGAATCTATCGGAATGAGTCTACTGACTGCTGTGTAATCACCGAGTGATAAGGAATAAATTATCAGCGATTTCTCCCTTTTGCTTGCAAGCTCACTTTCTCCCATCAGTTCTCAGGAGGATGTTCATGATTTACCCTCTTCTCTGTGTACGTATGTAAAGAGAAATCTACCATCTGCAATCTCAGAGCAGAATGTGCTTCCAGCTCCACTCTGGAACATGAAAATTAATAATTAAATAATGCAAAAAAAATGAATTGTACCAAAGAAGCAGAACAATGAAAATCTTCTCATCTTATTTCACTGAAAATACACCTCAAAATAAACCGAAAAGAGCAGCAAATTTCACTTCTCATAGATAAAATACTATCACTATAAATCTAATACTATATTAAAATAATAATTTTCCATGAACATATAATGTATATTTTTCTCTTGATGAACTTTTTAAAAAGACAAATTAAATGAAAATATATGCTAAACTCTGAAAAAGAAAATTCTATTCTTAAAGATGTCATTTCTTCCTCCAAATGATTTATAGGTACTATATAACTCCATTCTAAAGTTGCAAACTTTTTAAAATTTAACAGAAAAGTAAACAAGTAAAACAACTGAAAAATCTTGAGAACAAATAATTAAAGCCACTCACATCATTAAAATATATTGTAATTATAAGTGTGATAATTAAAATAATGTGGTATGGCTCAAGGATAGAAAGAAAAATCAGCAAAATAGAAAGAATGTCCAGAAACCGGTCTTAATTTATACATATAAAGTTAGCAAATAATAAAATGACATTTTAAGTCAGTAAGAGCATAATAAGTGATTGAATGGGCTACAAGGGATGACTAACGAGTTGGTAAAAAAGAAAAGGCTGCATTCCTCTCTTGAAACACACATAAACAAAAAATACACACACATACAACTTCAGATAGATTAAATGGTGAGACATATAAAAAGGTATAGGAGAAATACAAGAAAATACAGATGAATATATCCCATATCCTATAATGATATGGGAAATACACACACACACACACACACACACACACATACATGTATGTATAATTTTTCTTTAAATTTTTATTTAAATTCTAGTTAGCTAACATATAGTGTAAACTGGTTTCAGGAATAGAATTTAGTGATTCATCACTTACATATAACACCCAGTGCTCATCACAAGTGCCCTTTTTCCTACCCATCACGCATTAACGCATCTCCCACCCATCTCCCTTAGTTTGTTCTCTATAGTTAAGAAACTCTTATGGTGTGCTTCCCTCTCTTTATTTGCCTTCCCCTATGTTCATCTGTTTTGTATGTTCCATATGCAAGTGAAGTCATATGGTATTTGTCTTTCTCTGACTGACTTATTTCACATAGCAGAATACACTCTAACTCCAACAATGTTGTTACAAATGGTAAGATTCATTCTTTTCGGTGGCTAAGTAGTATTCCGCTTTATAGATACACCACATCTTTATCCATTCATCAGTCTATGGACATTTGGGCTCTTTCCATAATTTGGCTATACTGTTAATAATGTCTTGGTAAGCACTGAGGTGCATGTGTCCCTTCAAATCAACGTTTCTGTGTTAAGTATATAAATATTACATATAAATATATATTTAGAAATTGAATATTATATACAGCTGACCGTTGAACACCCTGGGTTTGAACTACATGGGTCCACTTAGATGTAGGTTTCCTTCAATAAATACAATCCTGTATATAAATGTATTTTCTCTTCCTTATGATTTTCTTAGAACATTTTCTTTTCTCTTAGCTTACTTTATTATAAGAATACAGTACATAATGCATGCAAAATATGTGTTACTTGACTCTTGATGTTTTCAGTAAGGCTTCCAGTCAACAGCAGGCTATTTATAGTGACGTTTGGGGGGAGTCAAAAGTTTCACATGGATTTTTCACCATGTGAGGGATCAGCACCCCAGCTCCAACATTTCTTGAGTGTCAACTCTATAATATATATGAGGAAATGGAATATAATATATATATTAGGAAATTGAATGTTATATATAATATATATGAGAAAGTAGAATGTAATATATATTAGGATATTGAATCTATGGGTCTGGTAGCTGATATACTGTGAAGTTATTGAGAGAAAACCATCTAAGATGTGTTTAAGACAATGATAGCAACATTTCACAAATAAGAAACCTGGAGGAGAACTAGACTGGGATAGGGGTTGATAATGAACTTGGCTTTGGATTTTCTTATGTGTAGATCAAGGGCTATTTTAATGAAGTTGTAGGGGCAGAATCTAGATTCCAAAGAATTGAGGAGTTATTGGTGTTAGTGAATGGTAAAGCAGTAGAGATAGCAGTTACAGATTACCATTTAAAAAACTATACTTGGGGCGCCTGGGTGTCTCAGTGGGTTAAAGCCTCTGCCTTCGGCTCAGGTCATGATCCCAGGGTCCTGGGATCGAGCCCCATGTGGGGCTCGCTGCTCAGCAGGGAGCCTGTTTCCCCCTCTCTCTCTGCCTGCCTCTCTGCCTACTTGTGAACTCTGTCAAATAAATAAATAAAATCTTAAAAAAAATAAAATAAAATAAAATAAAAAACTATACTTACACAGTAGAAACACGCTCCACAGACAATGTGAACAATGTAGATACTGTTGGCTCACAACTATTCTGGGTTAGCCTTAGAAGGGAACACCTCCCCCACTTTACAGGAAAGAAGGAGAAAAAGACAAATGTCCTTGGATG